TTCATGAGGGCTCCAACCTTGTAACCTAATCACCTCCGCCTGCCTCCTAATACCATCACATTGGGGGTGAGGATTTCCACATATGAATTTGGGGGGAGGGAACATTCAGTTCATAATAATCTGATAATAATATCTGAGAATATCAAGCGAAAGGAAATCTTATATACTGTCGATGAGCAAACTGATTTTGTATTATAATTGAGACGCAAGTATCCTATTGCCAGCAATTCTATTCCTAAAGATATACCCTAGTGAACTTTTGCACAGGTGATTAAGAAGACATGCATACCAATGATCATACCAGCATTGGAGAAACTAGAAACAATCTAAATATCTATCAGTAAGAGAATAGAGTATATTTATATGATGGAATACTGTATATCAGTGAAAATGAATGAACTAGAACTGTAAGTATATACATAAATGAATCTTACAAACAGAATGTGGAGCTAGTCTTTCAGGTGATGATTTTCCATGACTATATTTTGTTCTTTAAAGGGACCCAGTCATTTCCAAATGGCATAGCACTACTGTGCATAACTAGTGACTTCCTGCTTATGACGGTTTCATGCTTTAATATATTAGATTCTGGATAATCAATAAGATTCATAAGTTTTAACTCAAGGCCTTGGAACAAGGTTCTCTTTCTCTTTAGCCACGTAGAGAGGAAATGGGTTCAAGAAAAATGGCTTTGAAAGAGGCACTGTAGGGAAGTGGTTATAAGCACACAGGACAATGAGTCAGATGGATTTGGGTTTGAGTTCCAGCTCTCCTCTTACTAGTTGTGAGACTTTGGACAAATTTTATTTTTCCTCGTGAGCCTCAGTTTCCCTCCCTTCTTTATGAAGTTGTTTAGATAAGATAAAGTGTATGAAGCATTTAATGTGACTTCTGCCCACTACATAGAGTATTAAGTAAACATTAATATTATTAAGGATTTGAATACAAGATGATAGTGGACTTTATATGGCAACTAGGCACAAAATAATGAAACAACTAGTGCGATCAGAATTTTCACAGAGGGGTGGTTTTTCACTTTCTCCCAATGTGATTTAAGAATCTGGAAGGATGTCCGGTCTCTAACTGTACATCCAGCTTGCAGCTATGAGTTTAAATGAATGACCAACTGGAGAGTATCCCTGGGTAAAAAATTTAATTTCCCTGTGTCTTACTTGCTTTTCTGTAGAATATTGATTTATGGGAAACTAACAGTTTTGGAAAACCCTCTAGATAGAGACTGTGTTTACAGCCATGCTTGTGTTGCTCTATAAACATGGAAGTGCTGGGAGTGCAATCACTCAAATCCCATGTACTGCTTTCAGTGGCTTTCAACCACTGATGCAATGTCTGTGTGTTCATTGTCACGAAGGTCATTTTTCCTGAGGTTTAATTTGAAATGAGCTGCACCTACTGCAAGATACAATGCAGATGTGCTCCGCTTTAGAAAAGACCCTTTGCCCATGAATCTACGCATTGACTTGATGAATCATGGGAAATAATACTGTCAGAGATTCCTGGGGATGCTTCTGCCTGAAAATTTGGGGTTTAGCAGGAATGGCTATTGCTTCTTGGCCCCAGTGGCTGCATATCGACTGATACTTTCCAAGTCAAAACACATGCAGTCGTCCCTCAGTATCCGAGGGGGATTGGTTCCAGGACCCCTTAATGATACCAAAATCCTTGAATGTTCAAATACCTCACACAAAATGGTGTAGTATTTGCATATAAATAACCTAGGCACGTCCTCCCATATATTTTAAATCATCTCTAGATTACTTATAACACCTAATACAATGTAAATGCTATGTATAATAGTTATTGTATTATTTTATTTTTGTTGTTGTATTGTTATTTTTTTTCCAAATATTTTCTACCTGTGGTTGGTTGAATTTGGGGATGTGGAACCCATGAATACAGAGGGCTGACTATATACTAGAGGAGAACAGTGATCAACTAAGAAACAAAACATTTCTTATCAGCCTGGGGAAACATTCACTCTTCTTACCTTTAAGGACTTAGAAATAATGGGGCATATTCCAAATCAAGGATAGTGGTAGACTAAGGTGGTTTAAGAATTAACATTCTGGGTATAAAGTGCTATACAAGTCACACAGTGCCTGACACACAATAGACTCAGTGAATTATATTGAACCGAGAGAACAGATGAGGAAGGAAGGAAGAAAAGAAGAAAAAAAAGGAAGGAAGAAATTAGCAAAAAAAAGCTAGGACTTAGGATATGTAGGCTATGATTTATAGCTAGAATGACCCTAGACAAGTCCCTAAACCTGAGCCTCTGTTTCTCATCTGGTAAACAGAAATGACGTTTGCCTCACTGGTTTGTTGCAAGAAAGAAATCAAATACAGGCAGTCCCCAGGTTATGGATGACCCCACTTATGGTGTTCCGTACTTACAAACCTCCAAGCTTCTGAAGCTCCCTATATGGATAATTTATAATTAAACAGTTAAATTAATAATTCGGGAACTAGTTTCCTCTGTGCATGTAGACGAAGCCACATGGTTGGTGCAGCATCGTTATGCTAGCAGCTAGTCTCTTTTATAAGGTCACTTATGCACAGCATTACTTTTGTCCTAACTTTTTTTTTTTTTTTGAAACAGAAAAAAAAAGCCTGTGTTGCCCGGGCTAGAGTGAGTGTGGTGGCGTCAGCCCAGCTCACAGCAACCTCAAACTCCTGGCTTAAGTGATCCTTCTGCCTCAGCCTCCCGAGTAGCTGGGACTACAGGCATGCGCCACCATGCCCGGCTAATTTTTTCTATATATTTTTAGTTGTCCGATTAATTTCTTTCTATTTTTAGTAGAGACGGGGTCTCGCTCAGGCTGGTTTCGAACTCCTGAGCTCAAACAATCTGCCCGCCTCGGCCTCCCAGAGAGCTAGGATTACAGGCGCGAGCCACCACGTCCGGCCTGTCCTAACTTTTTAATTTGATTTTGTGAATCTATGTTTACCCCTATGACCATGTCTCCAAAGCGAAAGTCCTCTGCAAATCCAGGTGAGCCTGCAGCAAAAAGAAAGGTGATTACAATGGAAACAAAAGTGGAAATAATTAATTGTTCAAGGAAAGGCCAGATGCCATCAATCACTGGGAAAGCATTAGACTTTAGTCGCTCAACTACTGGAACAATTATAAAGAATAAAGTGAGAATAAGGGAACATGTGAAAGACAGTGCTCCAATGAAAGCGTCCATTATTACTAAGCAGCGTAGTGGATTAATTATTGAAATGGAAAGGTTACTATTGATTTGGTTAGAAGATCAAAATAAGCGTAACATTCCTATTAGCCTAGGAATTAAAAGAAAGCACGATAGTTTCCGTATCTTATTACAATACAGGGATATTATTATTACTACAGTATTACACTATATTATTATTACCACATATGAGTCATTATAGTATTATTATTATTATTACCACCATACATGGGCTGTTCACCAGGGGTCTGAGTTACATATAAACCCAACCTAAAATCGTTCTCAGGAACGTATCTTGTTGGTAACCTGGGACCACCTGTAATGTATTATAGTTAGAGAAATACGTAGTTGAAAGCACCTGACAGTCAGTCATAAGACCCATATATCAGCATCAATTCAACACAATATACTTCATCAAATATTTACTGAGCCCTTACTATTTGCCTGGCATTGTGTCTCCACTGCTAGAATTGAGTAAGAGATGATTTGTAAGACAGCCAGGCTTGTACCTTGGATAGGGCAACTGGGATGAAGGCAGTCACAGGCTCTGGATCTTAGGACTTTTACTTTACTTTTCGTGTACTGTATTTATAACAGACCCCTCAAACCCCACTCTGTTTGAGTTTCCCCAGTCCTTGCCCACAGGAAACTCACAGTCTATGATGGGAGACAAACTCGTAAACCAAAAGTCCAGAGCAGCATGTTAACCGCAATGATGGTGGTCCATAGAGTACGTAAGGACGAAAGGAGGGGGGTTGGTGAATTGGAGTAGGGGAGTTTGGAAGGTTCCTCAAGGGGATGATGTGTGGGCTGAATTATGGAAAATAAACAGGACTTCCTACAGAAAAAAAAAAAGCAGAGCAAGAGCATTTCAGATGACAGGAAACATCACATGCAAAGCCAAATAAGCAGGAAATTGCTAGTTCCAGGTTCTGGTATTAACTGGCTCTTTGTAACCTTTATGGAATTTCCTCAAGTCCCTCTGGGATTTCAGTTTTCTTATTTCAGAAAATCAAGGCTGGCGGTGGAAAGAGGCAACCTAGATTTTCTGGAAGGTGCTTTCTAACTGGATACAGTAAGCAAAAAAGGGGGGGGTAGCTTTGGAAAAGTCAAGTGTTATTTTTAGGGCACAAGCCAGAAGCTGCCTCTTTTGTAACGATCAAGATGACAGGCAGCCATTCGGAAATTGTCGCAGAGATTCATTCACCCATTTCACGGATACTTAGGACATGGACTGAGCCAGGCCTTACGCTAGTAAGGAGCCCACGGTCCAGCAGAGCGAGGCAGGTGCGTACACGAGAACTTGGAAATCATATTGGTGTGCACGTGGCGCATGAGGGCAGGAAAAGGGAAGCCTCTAGCACGTGCGGGTCACGCTCAGGGTGAGTGACATTAATTTATCTCCTAGCCAAATAAACTTCCTGTTTCCTCATCCTGCTTCACCTTCGCTGAGAGGCTGCAAACATTTTTCAGCTGCCACTTCTTCCTTGGCAGGGCGACAGGGTGCCCTCTCTTCGCAGCCTTTCCCAGACCCGTATATGGGGCTCCGCGTACGCACAGCGAATGCAGGTCCCCGGGCTGAGCCGAGGGCGCCTTACCCCGCGACAGCTTCGCTTAGACCTTAGCACCCAAGGCAGGGCTCCCGGCAACGTGGTAAGAGGTGGCCGGAAGGCAGGCTGTGCCGCGTCTCCAGGGGTTGGGCTCCCGGCGGCGGGGCGGGACTCAGACTACATATAAGAGACGAGCGCCACTATCCCGGCCACAGCACTGAAGCTCGCGCCCCCGCCGCGACCGGCACGTCACTGGCACTGAGCTTGAGACCAGACCCAGAGACTGAAGAAGAGGGAAAGTTCTCATTTCTATTTATTCGTTTATTTAATATCGAGGAACAGAAGGCGGGGGTTTGCGGGTGCGCGAGAGCAAGGCTGGACTGGCCCGGGGGCGTAGACACGTCGGTACACTCAGAGGATCCGCGGGAGGGATCCACCGCGACCCGAGGGGCTCCAGCAGCTGCAGGCGCCCGAACTCAGCAGCTTCTCTCCCCGCAGGACCACTTCTTCCCGCCACCTTCAGCCCCACCCTCCGACGATGCGGCTCCTTGGGAAATTTCGCTCCTCGGCCGTAGGCAGCGCCGTTCCGGAGCTCACCTTCTCCAACGTGCTCACCCCGGGCCGCATCCCTGAGTTTTGCATCCCGCCGCGGCTGCCGGCGCCCTGCGCGCTCGAGTCTCCGCCCCCGGCCGCCGCGCTGCCCCGGCGGTGCGCAGCCGAGCAGGACCTGTGGCCCCGCGCAGCTGACGAGGGCGCCGGCCCCACCGACTGGGACCCGCGCTCGCAGGCGGCGCTCTCGCTGCCGCACCTGCCCCGCGCGCGCACCGCCTACGGCTTCTGCGCGCTGCTCGAGAGCCCGCACACGCGCCGCAAGGAGTCGCTCTTCCACGGGGACCCCGGCGCCGCCGCGCTCCTCCGCCCCCGGACCCACACCTACGGCGGCGGCGGCGGCGGCGGCGGCGGCCGAGACGGCCCCGTCGTGCCTGTGAGACCGGATCCTGCCGTCATCCCCGCAGCCCTGGGCTGCCCCAGCCCTCCCCGGGACGCCCTCTCCCCGCGGTTCTGCGGCTGCCGCCTCCTGCGCGCCCCCGACGGGCTGCTGAGCCGCGCGCTGCGCGCCCGGAGGAGTCGCGGTCTGGCCCGCGCCCGCTCAGTCTCCAGCGGGGACGAGGACGAGGAGCGCGGCGCCGGCCCGGAGTCCCCCACCCGAGCCCCCTCCGAGCGCCCGCAGCCGCTCCCCGGCCCGCGGCCCGAGCGCCTGGAGGCCGAGGGCACCGTGGCTCTGGGCCGCGCGGGCGGCGTGCTGCGCCTGGCCGCCGAGTACTGTCCGGCCAGCGGGCGCCTCCGCATCCGGCTGCTCCGCGTCGAGGGTCTGGCCGGAGGCGCCTCGGAGCCCCGCGCCGTCGGCTGCCGCATCAGCCTGGTCCTGCAGCCGCCCCGCACGACGCGCAAGCAGCGCAGCTCCGTGCTGCGGCCGAGCCGCAAGGCCGCGCTCGACCAGGACTTCTGCTTCGACGGGCTCACGGAGGACGAGGTGCGCCGCCTGGCCGTGCGCGTCAAGGCCGAGGACAAGGGCCGCGGCCTGGAGCGGGGCCGCCTGCTGGGCCAGGGCGAGCTGCCGCTGGGCGCCCTCCTGCTCGTCTGAGGCCCGGCCCTGCCTCGGGCCGCTTTCTGCCCGCTGGGGGACTCTGGACTCTGACAGCTGCTTTGTACAAAATAAATGTTAATTTATTTTTGTATTTATGATCTTGTTTTATTGACGTTTTAATTCCTCAGCGTCCACCCTTGCCATCGTTTATTGGTAGGGAAGAAAAAAATAATGACTACTTCCTCTATTCCCAGCACCCCATCCCTCTTTCCCGGTCATTTTTACGTTCAAAGGAAAAAAGAGTTGGCCTGAGAAGGAAGAGAGAAAAGGAAGCACACCCCATCCGCGTTATTTTTCATTGCTTCCTGCTTTATATCAATGCTAAATGGTTTATGGTTTTTTTTAAAAGCAAGTTATTCATTCAGAAACGTGCCCAACGCTGAATCGTATACACAGCTTTACACATTGACCAGGCACAGGTAATATCCTCATTGGTACACACGCCCCAGAGTGAGAGACTCTCTTCTATTGTCAGGATACCTTGGTAGGAAGAGAATTCCTTTCTCATTTAGAAAGAACAGGATTCTTCTGGAAGTGAATTCTTCAAAAACTGCTGAGGAAGAGGAAAACGCAGTGGAGGACCTTGGAATACATGGTCACGCAGGGAATAGAAATTCCGGGCATCTCTCCCTTTACCAGGAGCCCTGGGAAATCTTATTTCAAAAAAGAAATCTTTCCTGACTCTGTAAACAAGTCGGAATGTTTTGTGACATTATTCCCACCCAGCTATGTATCTGAGTTACATAGTAATTAGCTTTGCAGTAGGATTTCCTAGGTAAGTTGAAAAGTAAATTGTCAGTTTCTCCAACACTGGGTTCTAAGAGAGCGTTTTTTAATCCAATTGATTTTCATGTGTTGATTCAACAAACAGACCTGAGTGCACTGGAAACTGATTATCCCAAGAGCATTTGCCCTTGACTGTAGGAATCTACCTAGCAGTGCAAGGCACAGTGGAGTGGGAGACGCACAGAGTCCAATCTTTTTTTTTATGTCACTTGCCGGTTGTCTGAACTGGGGTAGATCAGTTTACTTCCCTGAGCCTCATTTTCTTCGCCAGTGAAATGGGGGCAGATCTACCTCCCAGGGTTTTGTGAAGATAATGCCTTGATATCCAAATAACCCTTGAATGCGTGTGAGTGAGATATGATGCATGTCCGAAAAGGCTTGAACGGAACTGCTGAATCAGTGCTCAATAATGGTCCAGGAGATGAACACCTTCACATCTCCTTCCTTTCCCATTGTTTCTCCCCGGTCCTGGAGTGGAGCCTGGCAAAATAGGTACCTACCAGAGATGGAAGACTTGGAGGGGCCGGGGGTGGGAACATAGAACCCTTCAGGATCCCCGTGGTCAATTTCCCCATAAGCAATTGTTTGCAGTCATTCTTCCTACAAAGCTCTTCAGCATTGTTGTTAGACAAATGAGGCTCTGGCTACAAATTTGAGGTTCTGGCTACAAATGAAAATCTCAGATTTTAAATATAATTTCAAGTGGATGAATTAGCCCATAAATATAATCTCATTTTCTAATTCTGAAATTTAGAAAACACCAGAGAGATGACTCTGGCTCCCAAAGCCATATGGCTAGTATGTGTAGCTGAACTGAGACAACAACCAAGTTGTTCTGACTGCTGCAGAGGACTGACCCAGCCATTGTTCACTTAGCTGTTACTTATTCACTGAGCCTTCATTCTGAGACAGCACAGTAGCAAGCCCAGAGGATGCAGCTATGAACAAGACAGATGAGTGATGGCTAAACAATAACCAAGTTTTTTAAAAAAATTACAGATTATGGTAACTATCATGAAAACAATCCACTAGGGAGGGTGGTAGAGACTATCTGGATGGGAGGTGGCAGGTGAGATGTGCTTAGAAACAGAGTGGACAGGGAGGCTCTCTCGCAGACTTGAAAAGGAAATCATTTGTAAGAGGAACTTACTATATCTTAACAACCCCTTCGTGTATCTGTACAACCCCTTACTACATCCAAAGACAGAATTCTTGGTTTCCCCTCCTAAATCTTCTCTCCTAGTCTTCCTTAGCTTAATAAATGGCACCAGCATGCTTTCTGTCACTCAAACCCAGCTTTCTCACATTCCACTTTCAATGTAGATATCATCTCCTCAGAGAGTCCTCCCATGTCACCCCACCTACAAATAGCACCGTCACCATTACGTACTTACTCTCACTGCTTTGTTCCTTTACGGCACCATCACTACCTGACATCATATTATGCATTTATTTTGTTTTTGTTGTTTGCTCATTTTCTCCTCCATGCAAATGTATTCTTTGTAAAGGTAGGGACTTTGTTCACTTATTCATTGCTGTATTTCCAGTGCCTACAACAATGTCTGGCATCCAGTAGAAACTCAATAAATATTGCTCAAATTGAGTGTAGAATGAAGAAGTAATAGCTATACCAGTTTACATTTTCACCAACAGTGTATAAGAGCTCTCTTTTCTCTACATTCTCACCAGCATTTGTTATTTTTTCTTTTTGATAATAGCCATTCTAACTTGAGTGAGATGATATCTCATTTTGGTTTTTATTCACATTTCCCTGATGCTTAGTTATGTTTAGCATTTTCCCATATATTTTTTGGCCATTTGTATGACTTCTTTTGGGAAATGTCTATTCAGGTCTTTTTGCCCATTTTAAAATCAAATTGTTTGCATTTTTGGTTTGTTTTTATTTTTATTTATTTTTGGTTATTGAGTTGAGTTTCTTATATATTCTGAATATTAACGCCTTGTCCCATGCATAGTTTGCAAAATTTTCTCCTATTCTGTAAGTTGGCTCTTCATTCTGTTGATTGTTTCCTTTGCTGTGCAGAAGCTTTTTAGTTTGATGTAATCCCTTTGGTCTATTTTTGCTTTTGTTGCCTATGCTTTTGAGGTCCTATCTAAAAAATTCTTGCCCAGACCATTGTCATGAAGCATTTCCTCTGCTTTCTTATAGTAGTTTCCTGGTTTTTGATCTTATACTTAAGCCTTCAATCCACTCTAAGTGGCTCAGACGTGAATGCTTCCTAGCAGTTCCTTGCATTGTTGGGACAGGTCCCCAACTGCAGCGAGAGGGGCTGGAGGTGAGACTGGGCTCCCTCACCACTGCTGTAAGCTAGAGGCTGGCAGGCCCATCACAGAGTTTTGGTCAGATTATTTCCTAGGTTGTGAGATACAAGTGAGCTCCCTCTGGGTCCTGCGTGAACAGCAATGAGTGGGACCAAGGCAGAGGGGGCAGAAGCCAAGTTACTGGATAACTTTCCTATCCACTGCTGAGACTGATGTCAGCAGGCAGAGGAGCCTTTCTGCTGAGGCACTAGTGTGCGCCATTCCTCTTGGATCCCCTGCCAGATGGCGTTGGTTGCAGGCTTAAGGCCAAGCAGGGCTGTAACCCCTTAGAGGAATGGGGCTATTTCTGGGTTTGAACTCAGGAGTACAATCATCAGGTCTGCCACCTGGGTGTGGTCTGCACCCTCAAAGCAGCCTCAGTAGGTCTTGGGTTCCATGTAGATTTCACAATCTCCTACCTGAATCTTGAGGCTCCCATGGGGAGACTTTTGTCTGTAGATGGCTGCAGAATTCTTATTGTGGGGAAATATTGGCCAGCTGCCTCCTATTCTGCCATCTTGCTGATATAAATCTCGTAGCCAATTTAAATCTTGCTGAAAGGTCAAGAAAAATGAAAACAGAGACATGTCCATGGGCATTGGTAAGATAAAGGTCAGTAATGACTTTGACAAGAGCAGCTCATCGGGAGTAGTGGTGACAGAAGCCAGACTAGAATGGGCTAAATCATAAAGAGAAGGTGAGAAAGTAGAGAAAGAAAATTTTGCTAAGAAGAGAGGAGAGAAAAAGGGCTGTAGCTGGAAGAGAATGTGGATTGAAAGAAGATTTGTTTTAATGTGAAAGAATCCAATGAGTGTTTGGGATATCCAGAAGAGAAAGAGATATTGATCGGGCAGAGAAAGAGATCCAACAACAGGTGCAGGAGCAGAGTCAGCCCTCCAGAACATACGTGGGGAGAAGCATCGTCGAAAACCCACCTGCCCTGCTCTGCCAGGCAAAGCATCATTCTATGCTGAGACTGGCTACGCTCAGAGTCATAGGATGTTCGCCAGTAACAACGGGGACTACTCTGTGATTTCTTGTCAGGGTCCAGGCTGGAAAGAAGGCTTTGCTTTTAAAAACACTCCCATTACAATGAGGAAGAACTTTCCCAGAAGGTCCCAGCACACTTCTTTACGTACTTTACCAGCCCAAATTGGGTTGCAATCCCAATTCTGAACCAATCCTTGCAAGGGGAAGGATGTTAGCTTCAGAATGATTTGACCTGTCTCTGTAGCTGAGTATAAGGTCAGCTTCTGCTGAGGCAAATAATTCTTCCTTTTAGGAAGTAAGAAAGGGGAGATAAGGTGGATTATTAGAAAGACCTGGCTTCAGATCTATACTCTGCCATCAGATAGTTGCGTGGCCTTTGGGCAAATGCTTAACTTCTTTGAACTTTGGTTTTGTCTTTTCTAAAATATTGAGTATGAAGATGGGAAGGCTTAAAAGAGATGGTTACATTTAGTCATAGCAAGATTCATAGTAATGGGTAAACAGCCTTTTGTTTTCAAATATAATTTGAACACCCTCTTCTTAGCTCATGCAGATGAATGTAATTTTGCAGCATGGCTTTATGCACATCTGGGGTTCCAGTCTTAAGTCTGTACAAAGGGCAGTCCACTGGGAACATGTCTGGGTGACTGCACTAAATGACATAAACACAAAGAAGTACATCTTTCTATTCCGCTGGTTGTACATTTCAGACCCCATCTGCTATGTTCCAGGGAGAGAAGCAACAGCTCAGCTGATGTGTGCTTCTAAAATTCAGCCATCCCTACGGGGAGTTTTTCACCATTTGTGAATATCAAGGCTTTAATAAGCTATCCTTATGTGATCAGACACTAATGTTTACTCTGACAGGGAAAATCTATATTTTATTTTATTTGGCAAAAAAGAACAGGATATATTTTGCAGATTGATAACAGTTCCTGATTTTGAAATGAGTCACTGTTTCCTCTGTCTGTCTGTCTGTCTGTC